TCGGAAGTCATCAGCGTTAGGCGGCATTTAAAGCCCCAGCCTGGGTGAGACCTAGAGCATGAGCACAGACACAGAGGAGGTCCCAGGACTGAGGCTGGGGCCTGCAAAGTTTAGAGGCCAGAGAGGTGAGCTGGAATTAGCAAAGCAGTGTGAGAAGTCACGGCGTGAGGCAGCAAAGCCAGGAGCGCGGGCTATCTTGGAAGCCACGTGAGGAAAGTGTTTTGAGAAGGGAGGAATGATAAACCACGTCTTAGTCCTTGCTTTACTGATAAGAGTTTCCAAGTTACCTGGATGAGAAAGTGTGCTCCAAAGCCCAGATGGAGTCAATAAGAAAGTGGCAGGTTCCACTAAGTCCCTAGGCTGGTTAATCAGATATAAAGTGAAGGCTACAGTCTATCTATAAAGACAAGATGCAGAAATACAACCTGATGTAATGACAAGTAGATGGATTAGAAACTGCTCGACTGATGACACCCAAGGGCACACATAAGCGAATGAGTGTCAACCCCAAAGGAGATTTCTAGTGACATGTCACTGGCCTCTGTCCTTGGTCTGTTCAGCACAGCAGTGGCTGTGATCAATGATAACTAAACTTGACTGCAATCAGAATCATCTAAGAGGCTTGTGAACACAGAGCATCCCAGTGTGCGCCCAGACCTACGGAATCAGGATTTCCCCAGAGAGCACTGGGGCGAGGAGCCAATGGAAGGCCTGAGCAGAAGGAGGAATTGAGGTAGCAGGTTGATCAAAACGTACAGCTGAAACCAAGCTGAGTGCAATGGGGAATGTGCTCTTGACTCTGGGTAGGGTTAACCTAGCTGGATCTAAGACCAACTTGAACCCCCAGTGACCAACAGTGTGCCCTCAACCTGCACTAACAGCAGATGAGGGGAGAAGGGACATAACCCAGCCATACCCTCTCTGTCCCCTAAAGCACCTTCTCAATGGACACACGAGACAGAGGTCAGTGGAGTACGAACAAGATGCTGAAGGGACTTCATCCAAAGGGAAGCAGATGTTTAGCCAAGAAACTCAGAAGAATCCAGGACTCCACCCCGCACACCTTGAGGGCTGACATGTAGAAGGACTGATTTAGTGGGATCCGATAGGGTAGATCCACAACAAATGAGTGAAAACTACTAGAATATGATTCTACTTTGGTGCAAGGAAGAGCTTTTCAACAGTAAGAGTAACTCAAAGAGACAGAAGTGGTGAGTACTTTGCTATAGGAATTGTTAAAATTACATACACTTCAAGTGAGCACTTATCATGTTTTATGTGCATATGCATACATTTTACATATATATGTGCACCCTTCCTGGACTGGAAATTCTCTGACAAGTTACACCCCGGGGTCCAGCACGAGCCCTGTCCCATGCTACGTGCTCAGTCACCTTTATTTGAATGAATGAGCTGATTCTGGCTGGATGCCACCAAGCCTGTTGTACAATTGCAAGTCATGATACATAATTGTGAATATTCCTTCTAAAACAGCAGACTCCGTGATTTCTGAAAAACTGCACATAAACCAGTTTCCTCTGGAGACACAGCCATGCTCTGCAGCTTCACAGTGGATTTGGAATTTAGAAATGAATTATTGAATTACTATACATAACAGTCAATAGCAATATCAGCTCCAGGTTTAAAAGTCAGCCTGGTATAAAGTAAGCACAAGGAATAATCACTTTTGCCTCCAATGTTTCTGTAGTCCACATAAAAATGTGTATTAAAACAATCTAGCTGTGACCCAGTTCAGAGACTCGCCCTCTAGGCCTCCTTTCAAGTAACTGTCACTGCATCTCTCCGTCGGGGGGAATTACTGATTCGTGGGCTGGAGCCCTGGGCCCCCAAGTGCATGCTGCCTGCCGCCCCCCAGCGTCATCCTGTCAGAGGCAGGGTCCAGCTTAGAAGTTAGCCCAAAGGGCTTTGACAGAGCAGCCTTTTCCATTACCAAGGTGATCAATGCACATCATATCCTCTGTAAGAGCCCCCAAAACCGATCCTCTAGTCCTGGAACCAGAGCCTGGAACTCTCCTAAAATCTGAGGCAGCTTCCGAAGACGCCCTTCTGCCCCAGTCCCCATGGAGGAGTGGACATGCTCTGATCATGTGTCCAGGGGAGGGAGCATGCCTCCAAGAAGCACTTACTTCATAGCAGGACTGTCTTGAAGGCCATCTCATTTAATCCTCATAATAAGCCTATGAGGTGATGTGAGTATCCCCACAGCACGAATGAGGAGTTAACACAGTTGCCCAAAGTCACACAGACGTAAATAGAGAAGCCAGTATTTGAACTCAGGTCTGTTCAGCCCCAAAGCTGTGCTATTTTTCCACACAGCCAGCAGAACGATCTCAAAACAAAGCCAGTTCAGGACACACCCTTGTCAAAATGCCCTGGTGACTTCCTTGCACCGGGACCCTGCCTGCTCCGGCTTCTGCCTGCCTCTCCTGCCACATCCCCTATTCTTCCCGCCCTTGTTCCCCCCCTTCCAGCCCTACTGGCCTTCCTTCTGTTCCTGGGCATCGCCAAGTCTCTGACTCAGGCCACCACCCTTGCTATTCTCTCTGCCCAGAACGCTGTCCCCCAGGACCTCTGCAGGTCCCCTAGCTCATCTAGGTCTCTGCTCCAAAGCCGCCTCCCCAGGAGGCCATTCCCAACTACTCTGTCAACAAGAGACCTCTTCTGGGCTCCACTCCAATTAGCCCTCACCCGACACCTCACATTTCTCAGCAGCACTTACTGATGCCTGAGCACATATACTTGGCTAGTTAACTGCTTATGGTCAGTGCCCCCACGAGAATGCAAGCCCATGGGGACAGGGACTCTGTGTCACTCACTGCTCCATTCCCGAGTCCAGGGCCTACGTTGGCCGGTGCACACCGAACTGGGTTGTTGTATGTCCTCTACCCCCTGGCACCCCCATCTGGTCCCAGCACAGAGGTCTGCTGCACCGTAGCCGGGTGACCTTGGCCAAGTAGCCAGCTCTCCAGAGAAACTTCCCATTTACTGATAGTGGCCCAGACAAAGAAGGGACTGATACTTCACCCCTCCCTAAAGACTGCAGCACCCTTTGCTCTGATATTTACTAGTTTTAGAACTTTGTGATTTTTATCAGAGGAGACATTTGGTGCAACCGATGAAACAAAAAGATAATTATGTTTCACAAAGAGAGAAGAAAACCTTCCAAACAACCAATTGTCTGTTTATTGTTAGAAGAGACAATTAGTTCATTTAATGCCTTCCAGCATCTTTTCAAAGCAGATGGAAATGGACTCTTGTTACAGGAGAGTTATGAAAAGCTGTGCGATCAGGCCTGATCCAACCAGGGGGTTCTGAAAGCGCACATCTCCATGCTTCTCGGGGGATTGCGGCAGCCGCCAGTCACAATCCAAGAGAAGACCAGCGTTCAACGTGAAAGTTTCTAGAGAGAAAATTATCTGTTTGGGGAACTTAATTTGTCTCCCTTCATATATAATCGCCACCCCGCTTCATAATGTTGCTGGAAGGTGATTCATTTTCCGCCAAACATTTTACACTCTGCAGAAGTATTTTTGTGAATAAACAGAGGGCCTTTCATTTCAAAACTGAGGATCTACTTTGAGATTTACTTGGTGCAGTCTATCTGAACATGGTTTGAGTTGTGGAAATTCCTACCGGCATCTGAGGGGCTTTTGTTTACTGGACTTTCTCAGTTTTTCTCTCCCTTCCTAACACACACAACACTTCAAAGACACCCCTGGCTTCAGGCCCTGGTTGAGCTCAAAGGGTGAAATACCAAAGAGATAAGAGAACAATCTTCTGGGAACATTTAAGCTAACTTCTTCGTTTACAACTTTTGCCCAATCCATCCACTCCCTCCTTCTTACAAGGTGGGAGAGGATCAAGTTCTCCTGTGAAGCCAAATGCCAGGGCAGATAAAATGCTGCCAACATTTTCATTTCCAAAGAAGGGAGAAGAAAACGGTCCTATTCATGTCTGAATTTCGGTGCCTGGCCGCAGTAGGGAAAGTTACAAGAAAAAATGGAAAGGTGCGGATGGAAAGAGGGTGGAGAGACGGGGCGGGGCCAGGAGAGGGCTGCTTAGGGCACACCCTGCCAGGACCCGACCCTCCGCAGCCTGGAACACCTGCTCTGTTTCAGGATTTCTCCTTTGACTACACTGTGTTCGATCACACATTTTGAAGATTCCTAAATGCTTTCAATCAGCAAACAAGTATTCACATTCTTCAGCATTAATACGTTTATCTAATATTCAAACACAAATTATATCCAGCTTCCTTCACAGGACATGCTAGCAGCCTATCACATAACGCTCACACTAAAGAGGAAAAAAAAAAATCATCTTTACAGAGTAAGCAAGCTTCCAAAAGGTTAAGAGAAAGAAGGCTGCAGGTGGTTTAGTGATATTTATGAGCATTATTGAAATTCTTTGCAAGAATGAGGAAATGTTCCATGGGATCACATATCTCTGGCTGATAAAATTCCAGCGCACAGCATCTGTTGTACACATGTGTTGTTACGTCTGTAATCATTTTGATACAGTGATCAGTTTAGGCTCCATTCCTAGAGTCTTTGAAATGTGCCATTATCTTGCAAAAACACTTTCCTTAAAGAACCATGTTTGTTTGTTTTATGGAATGTATTAGGGGGTCACGTTAGTTAATAAAATTATATAGGTTTCAGGTGTACAATTCTACAATACATCATCTGTATGTTGTATTGTGTGTTCACCACCCCAAGTCAAGTCTCCTTCCATCACCATTTACCCCCTTTACCCTCTTCCACGCCCCCCTTTCCCTCTGGCCATCACCATGCTGCTGTCTGTGTCTGTGAGTTGTTGTATTTTTCTTGATCTCTTCACCTTCTCACCCAGCCCTCCCACCACCACCACCACCACGCTTGTTTATTCTCTGTGGTTTTAAAGAGGAAGAGGAGAGACCATATAGTATAATGTGTACCTCTAACAACCCACATGTGTGCATTTTCACGCACTCAACTTACTTTTTCATTCCACGCCCACAGTCCAATTCCAAGAAATGCTATTCCCAAAAACTGAAAGAGAGAGAGAAAGCAGTGTAAATATAAGAGTAACAACATGTTTGGACCAATATAAATGAGAAAGTCTTCAATCAATTCTTTTGCCACTTTACCTGGCAGAGAGCAGTTTTCTCTAAAATCTGAGTGACAATCCTTAACAAAAACAAACAAACAGCCCTGGCCGGTTTGGTTCAGCGGTTAGAGCGTCGGCCTGCGGTCCAGAGAGACCCGGGTTCGGTTCCCGCTAAGGGCGCGTACCTCGGTTGCAGTTTGTCCCCGGCCCTGGTTGGTTGTGCGGGTGGCAGCTACTCGATGTGTCCCTTTCACATCGATGTTTCTCTCTCTCTCTGTTCCTCTCTCTCCCTCCCACTCTATCTGAACAAAAAATGAAAAAATGTCCTCGGGTGAGGATAAAAACAAACAAACAAACAAACAAACAAACAAACAAACCAGAATCCCCTTGATCAAAGTTATAACAGCATTAAAAAGGGTTGGGTAAACAAAAAAATGTGGGTGTATATATGCATTGAAATATTATTCAGCTTTAAAAAGGAGAAAATCCTGCCATTTGTGACAACATGGATAACCCTGAAGGACATTCTGGTAAATGAAATAAGCCAGGCAGAGAACACAAATACCACATGGTATCATCTGTGGATCTAAAAATGAGTAAGTGAGACTCAGAAACGAAGAGTAAAGTGGTTTCCAGGGGTGGAGAAATAGGGACAGGTTGGTAAAAGGGTACAGACTTTCTGTTAAAAGATGAATATAATCCGAGAATCGACTGTATGACGTGGTGAGTCCAGTTGATAACAACGTATTGTAAAAATGAAATTTGCTGACAGAGTAGAACTTAACGCTTCTTACCCAAAAAAAAGGTAACCATGTGAGGTGATGGATGTATTAACTTAATGAGAGGAATCGTATTACAATGTGTATGTGTATCATATTATCATGTTGTAGTCTTTGAATATCTAACAACTTTATTAGTCAATTATATCGCAGTAATGCTGAAAAAAACCAAAAAATTTTAAATAAAAAAAAAGGTTTGGGGACATGTAGGTGCTTAGAAGTCCTTTAGATTATGGATAGTAAGTGGGTAGAATCTCAAATAAAATCAATAATCAATACGTTTAATGCTGCCTCCTAGGGTAGAAGGGGGATAGCACCTGCCCCCACGAATCCAAGTGAGTGAGGACTAGAAAGGGGAAGCCAGGGCCCACACTGCGAACAGAGGCAGGTTCTCTCCTCCCCATCAAGCCCCTGGAAACTGGCCAGGTCAGGGAGGGCACGCAGAACCCCGCTGCCCCTCCACAGGCTCGGTCCACTCCTCCCAAAGGTGCTGTGACTCTTACCAAGTCCACCTTGACCCAAAGAAAATTCCTGCACTCTTCTGTTTTCAGAAACGTAAATTACATGCAGTTGAGAGGACTTCGCGACTCGGCCTGGTCAGCTCAGTGCCGTAACTTCACGTGAGACAGAGCACACCAGTGACGTGTCGGAGCTAAAGGACAGCCAGAGGCAGAGGTGCCCGCATGCTCACAAGGGATCTCCCTGGCTGTCCAGCAGCGGTGGTGAGTGTGGGGCAGGGTGGCGGGAGGAAGCCATGGGGAACCAGGGGACTTTCCACTTAATCTTATTATTCTTGTTTAATCCTCACCCGATATGTTGTGTTGGTTTTTTTTTTTTTCAAGTTGATTTTTAAAGAGAGAGGAAGAGGGACACACAGAGAGAGAAACATCAATGTGAAAGAGAAACATTGGTTGGTTACCTCCTATATGCACCCTGGGGATTGAACCCGAAGCCTGGGTATGTGCCCTACCGGGAATCGAACCCGCCACCTTTTGGTGCATGGGGCGACACTCCAAACAACTAAGCCACCTGGCCGGAACAGGACTTTCCATTTTAATTAGTCCTCATTGTATCCTCTCTGTTCTAAGATACTACTCCCCCCATACTTTAACATCTCTGAAATTGGGATGTGTCTTAAAATCGATGGTACCTTGTTTATTTTTCTTGATTGTACCAAAAGTAACAGTGTGCCTTAGAATCGGGGTCACAGGTTTGGTGACACACCACCGTACAGCAGTCCACCCACCGAGAGCTCAGCGAGCAGAACCGGAACCGGGTGGACTGGCCCAGGAGAGACTCCCTCACCGGCGCGAGCAACCCGGAGTCCCCCTTCGGATGGCAGTCGCGCCATTTATTTTACTAACATCTTGGTTAATTAACGCCAGGAACGCTGTCCACAGAGAGGGGCCACGACAGCGAGGGTGGCCATTCTTCCCAGTGTCGGGAAATCTGAGACGCTCCACCTGGCGCGGGCTCACATCCCGCAGGGAGGGACCGTGGCAGGCGAGGCTGACCAATGCGAAGGGCGGGCAAGGGCGGGCGGAGGGGCGGGACTGCACCCCACCCCAGCTGACCGCCCCGAGAGCGTGGTGCTGTGTTTGAGAGGAGACTGGTCCCAGTCTGCCCACGATGACCCGACAGGGCAGGACGGCTGTGCGATCCATTCTGCGCTCCTACGCAGAAGAGCTTCCGCGTGTCCCTGGTCTGGCAAAAACTGAAGACCCCTTTCCTACTTTTGCTCTTAGATGTTAGGAAAGCGTTTAGAAAGATTTCTTGTTTTCAACATCCCAACAGAAAAACGATGGCTCCTCGACTGCCCTGGTCAGAGGGCTACTTCACTTCACTTTTCTTTTTTTTTTATCCTCACCCGAGGACATTTTTCAATTTTTTGTTCAGATAGAGTGGGAGGGAGAGAGAGGAAGAGAGAGAGAGAAAAACATCGACAGGAAAGGAACACATCGAGTGGCTGCCACCCGCACGACCAACCAGGGCCAGGGACAAACTGCAACCGAGGTACATGCCCTTAGCGGGAACTGAACCCGGGTCTCTCTGGACCGCAGGCCGATGCTCTAACGCTGAGCCAAACCGGCCAGGGCCACTTCACATTTCTGACCCAAAACAACAAAGGTACCAGTCCCCCCAAAGGTACTTGGGACTCTGTAGTACAGATATAAAGTACTTCAGCATGTTTCTCTCTCTCTCTCTCTCTCATATTCATAGGTGCTAGGCACCAGAGGGTGACAGGTGTACCCACAGGATCCTGTAAGACCTAGAAATCACTGAGCGCTTCACATCACACCTGTGACGTCAGACTCACCCCAGTGAGACACTGGACTTTCTAATGCTAAAGTTCTTCATGGACAGATGTGCACATCTCCCTGATGCAGCATGTAATCCCAGTGTCACCACAAGAGGGGGGACATGTCACCTCTGAGGGCCCTGCCGAATCGCTAACACTTAAACCTTCCTCTAAGACTCTCCAACCACCGTGCTTTGTAGGTGGGGTCTCTCTTAAGCATCACAAGTTTACTTTTAAATACAGGCACCATTTAAGGAAGAGAAAATTGAGGCTCACAGAGGCACACAGTTTCTGAGCGGAAAAGCAGAGGTCTGAACCCAGGGAAGTGGAACATCAAAGTCCACGTTCTTAGCAGCCTTGATAAGTTCCCATTTCCCCCACAGAACAGAGAGTTGAGGCATTCTGGTTAGACTCGCTGGAATAAGAACAGGACACCACATATTTCATGTCCAGGAAGCAAAGGGAGGTAAGTGGTGGTAGAAAGCAACAAAAACCCTGCCTTCCCCTAAGAACAGGCTGGAGCCCAGAAATGCCCCATGCTGGGGCCAGCAATGAAGGGAAGCAGAAAACAGAGAAATTCCACGGTGGGTCCACTTCTCCTCTTTGTATCAAGCTCTCTCTCTTCCTGCCTCTTTGAAAACCCCTTTCCTTTCACCAACCATATACATGGATTGCAAAGCAATAGTTTCCCACAAAAAAGAGGGAAAACTCAGGATTTAAAGAAGACTCGTAGACCAGTACTTTATAATCTTGCTCCAATATTTTCTGCTTTACTTGTGACTTTCCAAACAAGGATTTAAGAACTTAGAGAAAGAACACTGGATGTAAAGTCAAGGAACGCACTCAATACCTAAGTGAGCGAGGGGTGCAGGGCCGGGGCCCCAACACGCACATACCTTCGGTGCTACATCACTAGCAAATGTTCTCCCCATTATTCTCAGCCCATATGTTTTGTTTTAGAATCAAGTTGTTCCAGCTCCAAATAATTAAACAGAGAACAGCCAAAAAAACAGGGGCAGACCTGCGGCGCTTGAGACACACTGAGTTTCCCCCTTCCCACCTCTCCAAGGAAAGAGGACACAGACCACCAAACTGACCTCGTCAGGAAACCAGGAGGACAGCGTACAGGGAACAGCTGAGAACACTTACAGGCAACTCTTTATTCCTTCGGAACAGAAAAGCAGATCTGACGCGTCTTCCCACACGGCAATGTATGCAAACGCGCAGCACAAACGTTTGTCCACCCAATTTTTGATGTTTAAAAATGAAAAACAATAACTTTGCCAACATTTGTTGAGTGCAAGTAGGAACGAGGTGCTGTGTTTTTTGGGAAGTAGCTAAAACAGCGCTGCCTCATGCAGAAGCCACTAGCTACGAACCTCTGGGGAGTGGCTCTCCGAACCGAGGCGTGCTCCTGGATGTAAAACACACACTGGACTTTCAAGACTTAACATGCATAAAAAGAATATCTCATTCATATCTCATTAATCGTTGTTTTATGACTGATTACATATTGAAATGATAATGCTTTAGATATATTGCATTACATAAAATATATTATTAAAATTAATTTCACTTTTTTTAAATATAGTGACTGCAACATTTAAATTATGTATGTGGTTTGCAGTATATTACTATTGAACAGTGCTGGTCTAAAGTATTCCACAATCCCATGCAGTAAGACTGATATTATCACCAATTTATAGATGAAGAAGCTGAGACTCAGAAGCCTTAGGTACTTCTCCCCAAATCACAGTGCCTGAGCTGGGATGCTCAGGAAATCTGACTCCTCAGCCCACGCTCAGAACTACTGTAGTACTGTCCTAATGTGTATAAAATGTCTGTCCAGCCAAATAAGGGATGG